GGGAGACAGCAAACAATCAATTATGAAGGCAGGCCTCACTCAACACCGGCTGAGAAGGAGGTCCTGATGAACAATGGAAGGGTACGCTATCCTTTGGAAAGGGGGAAATCCTGGTGCTGGTACAAGCAAGATCTTAGAGGCGGCCTACCCCGCCGAGAGAGTTAGCCCCCCTGTGTGGATTTTTTTATTTTATTTGTTCTGCAAAACAGCTTGGCTTTCTCAATGATGTTGTGACCAAGTTCGATAGAGGGAAGGGCTGCAGTTCCCAGGGTACGGTAGACATGCAGGAAAAGGGGATTCAGCTTACTAAGAGTGAGACAGACCGACGGGGAACAGGGCCAGGCCATTCATACGGGGGTGTCGCAGTAAGGGAAGGGTATCAAAGTGCAGCCCCTAGGGATTAGACAGCCCCGAGATGATATCTCAAATGTCCACGGCCCCAGAGGTCGCAATGTTGTTTCCAAGGGACGCTGGACCCGGTTTCCAGCAGGTGCCGCTCCCCACCAATAGATGGAGCAGCCCGAATGGCCAAGCCTCCAATCCTGGTGGCTCTCTTACCGCCACTGGGATAGTGGGCTTGGAAAAGGGCTTAAAAAAAAAAAAAATAATAAAAAAATACAGAGCATAGAAGAGATTCCAGTGCATGGAAAAGACGACAGCGCAGGGAAAAGATTATACACTGAATATTGAAAACATCCAACTTCAAAAAAAAAAAAAAAAAAAAAAAAAGAACCATGCAACTCAAGTTGGGACTCCACTCATTCACATGTGAAGGGCTTTGATCCATCCACATTCTTTGTGCAGTGCTATCTTTAAAGGATAATAAATTAATAATAAATATTAAACAAATGACAATGCAAAATATTCTCTCTGTTCTCTGGCTTGAAATCCCACATTGCAGGAACAGATTGGTACCATTGTCTAAGCACGGCGTCAGGGGAGCATTTACAACTTTTCCCAAAAAAAGGGGTCTCGCTCCACTACTTCTCGAAGATTTCGAGAGTGAGTCTAGAACTGTCAGACTCTAGAAATGACTGGAAAAGAGAACATCGCTCCACTTACTCTAGAAGGTCAAACTCAAGAAGGCCTCTCGGATGTCAGACCGCTCTTTGAGAGAGCTACACGACACGGCCAGCACGTTGTTGTCCACCCAGACTCCAGGCGCACTCCATAAAAATGCTCAACTTTCGAAGGTCCTGGATGCCTCCCTTGAAATTCCCGCCGCTGCAGGCCGGAGCTCTCGGATCGTCAAGAGTGCCACGGGAGAGGAGGTTCTGACAACTCAAGAAATGCATTTTCATGAGCGTGTTTCATGAGGTAGTGGAGCGACCACGGAATGTGATCTCGCCATTTTCGCGAGTAGATACTGACACAGCTCAAGAACCCGAATTCCAGACCTGGTGTCTAGAGTAAGTGGAGCGGTGCCGCGCTCAAGAAATGGCAGGTTTCTAGAGTAGTGAGCGAGACCCAAAGATTTGGTTTTTCGAATGGAGGCATGGTCAAACTCTTTCATCAACTGACACATACGTCTCGTTTTCTTTTTCTTTTTCTTTTTCTTTTCTTTTCTTTTTTGAAACATCGACCGGGGTGACCTCTCCTTCAGATGGAGATAAGAGCCCAATAAGTCTCAAGGTCACACCAAACAAACAATCATAGTAGGTGCACACTTCGTCGCTGCTGTATACAGCATGGACAATCCCGACAAAAAAAAAAAGTCACAAAGAACGTCGGAAAG